AATTCTCTGCTCCTGTTACATAACACACCATAAAACTTCAATTGTAGATTTACACTTTGTATTTTCTTTATGAATTAAATGAAATGAAGTTAATTGGTGAACTTTGTTCTACTAGGTGGATTTTGTTATCTTTGCACACAGCAAAGCTTAGCTAATCTAACCAGCTGGCTGTAGCTTTATATTAAGCATTCAGACATTAAAGTGGTATTGATCCTCTCATCTAAGCTTTGGAAAAAAAGCAAGTATTTTCCAAAATGTCAAAACTATTCCTTTAAAGGAGTTCCAGTATTTGTAAGTTTTGCCATCGCTACATAGCCAATGTTAGCATTAACAGCCATTTACTTAAAAGTCTAGAAGAAACTTTACATTTCAGCATCAACCTTCATTTACTCACTAAGAACTGTCTCCAATGGTGGAGAAAAAACCATCTTGTTTTGCTTCAATTTCTATCGCTTCTTTTCTTCTAATGAAGTTAGCATGCTAACCAGCTAGCCATGGCCTGGTCAGACTGTCTTGTCACTTTCTGATACTGAGACACTGTACCGTCCAATCTGCCCTGAAGAAGTACCGCAGCTCAGAGAGCATATTATAAACTCTGAAAAATGGCTGAAGCTCTTACCAAGACTGTCAAGTAAACAGCTGCTGACGCAAACGTTGGCTATGTAGCAGTAGCAAAACTTACAAATAGCACCTTTAAATATTTTGGATATACACAGTAATAGCATTACAATGTGCAATTAAGTAGAAACCTTGCACTGTCCAGGACAATCATAACTGCTCTGTCTGAACAAATTATGCTATCTTATCAAACATCTATGAAGGTAAAATCAAGGAGCAATACTGAAAGTACATCTCTTGGCAAGGAAACTGATGCATTTATTTCAAACAGTTTTGATTCTAAAGTTCTTCTTGGAAGAAACCAATTAAATGAAAGTTCATATACTTCATATACTGAAAATACACAGGGACTCCTGTGGTGTTCAACATATCCAGGAGATGTTTGGAATGAAATCATGTAGTTTTATTTTTGATGTACGCTCTGTCTTTCATTCTGCTCCACCTGCTTCTTCTTTAATTAATGATTTCCTAGAAGTTCTCAAACAAAGGGCATGAACATAACAGTGTGGGAGGTATATAATTAACTTAAGGTTAGCTGGAATCTGTTGGATATTCATTTTCAGTCACTGTATATTTCTTACCAACACTCAACATTCTCAAATATTTTCAGTGCTGGGTATTTCTTGTTTGCCTTGCAGGTAATTGGCAATGGAGAAAAAAATTATATCTAATTTCCAACATCAAGGGAACTTCATTATTTTAGGTGCAAAGATTTTTTGTGATTAAAGCACAGCTCCACAACACAATGTACAACTTAAGCGGGTAGACCATTTAATACTCGGGTGTCTTTTACTTCAGGGGCATTTTAGTAACTGAAGCATTTAAATGTATTTCACACAGCACTAGATATGAATGCACACCCACACGCAGTCATGATTTGCATTCGTAAGAGGTGCACAGCATGTGCTAAATGCTTCTGACACAGCGTTTGCATTGTAGTCTAATTGAATCGTCATGTTTATGGTGAGATGTGCATAATACATTTCTTCTTAACATAGATGCTGTTTTTACCATTTAACATTTGGCATCTGGTTTCTGGGTTGGACAGGCAGAGGGGGAGAGACCATGGCAGAGGCTGATACGACAATGAAAAAGAGAATAAAATGTGGAAGGACACAGCAGAGAGGGAGACAAGATGAAGCTGCTTCAGTTTAGTTCATCTCAGTTCAGCGTGTGTTACTGGCATAAATGTATAGAACAATATCATCAAAGCAAAAAGATAAGAGAACGTTTTAACATAAAATCCTTCACCGCTTTTGAAATTGATTTTGTATCAGAGCCATTGCGAGGGAGGACCCAGATTTCTTTAAATTCAAATTTTTCATCACCAGTATTGACAGTGCATGTGGAAGTTCAACACGTGCACTGCAATCCATATGTGTCATATTTAATTGCCCATCAGTACACAGTATAATCTACATACTTACAAGCAGAGGTGGGTAGGTGGGAAGAGTCAGGTCCTGAGTCACTAAATTAGTATTTATGGTCTGGGTTCAGCTTAATGCAACAGCTTAACATCATAACATAAAACCTGAACTAACTGATATTTTGGGAACTTTAGAACAGCAGAAATAAGTTGTGAACACAGCACTGACATAGTGTCAATGTAATACAAGTAATGCAATATAAGCTGTTATGGCTAGCATGTTAGCAAGCAGCTAACACACGCATCTAGCAAACACGAAGCAACATTAGCATTTATTTGGGGTTGTGTCTCTGGGTACGTTAATTAATAAATTTTTCGAAGTCTAATATTATCTCTCTTTTTGGGTCTATTTTTGGTCTCCAGCAACCCCTAAGTAAAATATCTGGCTCTTAAGCTGCTACGTGCTACACAATGTTCACATGCTAACTGCTAACTTATCTTTATCTTTCTGCAAACATGTCATTTTTTATCTTTGTCAATATATATGTATAAATATATATATGTATATATATATATATACATATATATATATATGAAAGTAACAACAACGTTATAGCCACTTCAACAGCCCATAGTATAGTAAGTTACGTTAATGTTAGCTTGCCTTTTTATAATATCCTAGCTTGCTTGTTTGTCCATATTTCACTTTATTGTTTAGTTTTTATTTGCTGATGTAATATTTCACTTAGTTTTCCAAAGCTTACTTTTATTATATTCATGTTGAGTTATTGTAATTGAAAAAAGAACATCAAAAAATACTTTTTGTCAAGGTCTTTGTTGACGAAAAGGCTGGGTGATGTGCATGTGAGATAAAGTGAGAGAGAGAGAGAGCCACAGCAGCATACAGGGAAGGTAACTGAATCACTGGAGGAGAAAACAAGATGGTGCAGGTTGCAGATGGGTTGATGAAGAGGAGAGAAACTGAGGGATGGATGGATAAAAGGCTTTCCAGGCCTCTAGTTCAATGCTCAGTGCTCTTGGTTAGGTCAATGACTAAAAAAAAAATCCCTGTGTCCCCTAGAAGACACACACACACACACACACACACGCACAAGCACACAAATACACACATACACACATACACAGCATTGATGGGATAAGTGGTTTAGATCCACTTAGATGAGAGGTTGTGGTTAGGGGACAATGGTTGAGTCCTGTGTGTTTGTTTGTGCGCGCTTGGGTGAGAGAGAAAGAAAGAGAGATCAATGTGGTCTTTTGTGTCTGGAGGTGAACTTGGGAGAACACGCACAACAAGACCTACACAAGCAATTACAATCACCTTGAGGAGACACCGCATCACACACTTCATAACAAACTTTAAACTTCATTCTTTTTGGTTCATCAGATAATTCGGCCCAAGCACCTACTGTCACTCATGAAACGTCATAACAGCAGGATGTAGTGTCATATCTCGCTTGCAGCCTCCCACATAGCACCAATACAACTCACCTTTTTCTCATTTTTCTCTTTAACATAAAGCCCGCAGATCCATCTAATAAGTTATTTTTTCAGCTCTGCCCTCATGCACCTGATCCAAGTAAGAGCTGCACCTTAATTATATCAGGTGTGCAGGTGGGCTGTATAATTAGGCTGAGAAACATATGTAACTCATGTATCTGTACATGTATCTAGAGTAATGTAACATAATAAAATTAATTTTAATGTATTTCTTTAATTAACATTAATTATGTTTTCAGCCACCGCTGTACACCAAGCGTTGACATTTTCTATGTATAGAAAAACATCTGTCTGCTACGACTGGAAAAGAGGTTAATGATGGAAGTAAAAGCCAAACCAGAACAGATGCACTGTGACCCCAAAATGAATAACTCGGCTCTGTGTGTTCTTCATATCAGAACCCCGTTCACATTACGCAGTCAGTTAATCCGTAGTTACCAAAACATATGAATTGATGTAGCTTTAAATGTATTTGTCAGGAAAACATGTATGGAAAGTCATTAATCTTGCTGCTTGTTACTCTCCAATAGTTTTCCGAAGTGTGTGACCGTCGTGTGTTTGTTTCATATTGTACAAAAGAGTACATTGAATTATGTTTATTTGCAAACTCTTTCAAAATTTCTTTAGTGTACAATCTGTGTATACTATGCAATTAGGACACCATATATTATAATATTTGTTATATTAGTCAGGATTAGTGGTAAATTCATCATTTTATTTATTTATTTATTTATTTAATTTACTTTTTTATGTTAAATTGACAAAAATTCACTTTAAAGAAACATTTTTTTGCTTTGACAGTTTGAGCCTTTTTCAAAGCGCATCTGAAAAAATAATATAATCACTGATGCATGTCATTGCCATAACACCTATAGTTTCTTCATTTGGGATGAGGATCGACATGGACAAGATACAGAATAGTTAACAACCCATGAAAGGAATACACCATTCCCTCGATGGTATGCCTTCACAGGGTTTAATTTCTTATAGAATTTGATTTGTCTGTGTGTGTTAGAGGTTGTACAACCCATAATTTCCTCTGGATGCCGAATCCTTCATTGTTGTCAATGAAACACTGAGATGTCGGAGGGCCTATAATTTCACCAAAATACCCACAACAGCAGCCAATACTGGTCTACCCAATACTTTGACCATGAAAACAGCTCTTACACCGCTTTACACAGAGTTCCAGTGTTGGACAATTGGAGGAATCACTCATCTCAACATTGTCATTCACTCTTGGACACATAAACAAATCTCCTCAAAACAAATCCACTCAGATTCGACTGGGGTTGCTGGACTTCTAATAGAAATACAGACTTCACTCACATGTTATCTTTGTGATGTTGAGTAGTTCAGATTCACAGATTGGATTCAGCAATTGAGCACTTCTTTTCTGAGGAACTCTGCATATTTGCAAGGTTTTAAAAATCAGCCACCGTCAATAGAGGAACGTGGTGAAAACATTTTCCCAATGTTGTGTTTGTGATCTGTTCAGGAACTCAACATACTGCATGAAAGTCTCCATGTCGATGACGGTGGAGGAGAGTGACGAGGGGAAATGCTTCAGCAGCAAAATCCGCCATCTGGAGAAAGCTGAGATCACCCACAGCAAAATGATCACCTGTCCTGATATAGAAGACTATATGGCTCCGTACATACAGCCACAGATGACCTGGTATAAGGTATGACACACACATACATATACACTCACACATATACACACACCTATTAGCTACTGTATGTCCTCTGTAGACTGTTGTAGCTGAATCAATTCTGTGTGCGTCTGCTGTCAGGAGTGTGAGCGGGTTGAGTGGAGAAGTTCCATCACTGTGAACACCACACACATCTGGATACCTGAGGTGGAGGAGGGTGACGGGGGAAATTACACCTGTGAGTTACAGTATGGATCGAGACTGGTGCGGCGGACAACACAACTCAAAGTGACAGGTAGGACACCGTGCATTAACGGATGAATGGTCCTATGAGGAAAATCAACATCACAACGTAACTTGTAGAGGTGTTTGGGTTCATCTCAGTCAGCAGCTGCCCTGTGGTCTGTGTGAATGTGGTAATTTTTCAGTATTAAGACAAATATTCCCCTGAAATATAACCTTTTTTTTTTAACTAACATTGTCCACAACAGGCTGTGGAACACCCTGACATTCACAAATTGCTATCTTATGATTACTGCATCAACAATCAGATGCAACACATCATTTTAATAAAATCTGAAACACCTGATGTTGTGAACCTGTAATTTTCTGCCAGAGAACATAACATAGGAATGACTCTGGCCAGCTGCAAAAGATCAGCAGCACACCGCAGGCGCTGGTGTTACGCAGTTACTGCTCAGTCCATATATAGTATCTGCAGGCGCTCACAATGTACATGTGAGAATTGAGTGATGAACTGAAGTGAAACTGATTTAATGGAGCAGAAGCTTGTGGATTTTCCCTTTTAGTGGTTTTGGTGATTCGAAGGCTTAAAGACGTCGAGCTGTCTGTTTAAACTGGACTAAATCTGGTTGAAAAATGTCAAGTGTTCATATAATATTTATTTAAGAGACATTCAATGACCGTATTTCCAACATGTAGCCTAACTGTTTCTACCCTGGACATAGTAAATTGGTTTGAAATTGAAATCCACTTTACATATGTATTAGTGTGTGTGATGGAACATGGAATGGCAACTTCTGCCCTCAACCCAGATTTGTATGTTTACTGGCACTGCAAAAACTACATGGTGGATAGATGGATTGACAGATAAATGAATGCATGAAGACACAAATTAATGAATGAATGAATTAATAGGATAGGGCAGGACTGGTCAGGAGGACAGGTGAGGCTGTGAGCAAGTAGCAGAGTATTTTTCTGATCTTCAAATAATTCTAGGCTTGATGGATTATATGTATATATTAGATGTACCCTCTCACAATGGGTTTGTGTGAACTGGCTGCAGTAACACAGTGGAAACAGTGGGCTTAAACCATGGCATAAATATGTTCTCTGCTTGCTTTTAATGTACAGTGGATCTCTGAGTAACTCCATCCATCATTATGACAGATGCCCAGACTCAGCGATACATCATTCATCATTACTACAGCACTTTTAAAGTTTCCTTGAATGCACAAATACAAAGTTATCCTAAAACAATTGAATGCATTTACATTCCTGGCACCGTTTTGTGTGTTTGTATTTGGTCTATTTGTCTTATTCCCACATTAAACATAGATTGTTTCAGGCTCCAATGACTTTTGACTTGACGTTGACTTGGCAGGAACATCTGCACTTTGCTGTTATGAGTTTAAGCTGACTTCCATTTGCACTTTTGTATTTCATGTGTGTGCGTGTGCGTGTGTGTGTGGGTGTGGGTGTGGGGGGAGGAGCTGCATTCCCTTTGATTGTGTGTTAATTCCTGCTTGTGTTCTTATTGTTGTGCCATGTGCAATATGCCTGTTGGTGCAATGACAACACACTGTGCTTATTTTCTATGACACACACACACGTACCCTGCCTTTGCTTCTCTTTACACTGTTTGGCACTTGCATTCACATCCACACATGAAAACACACAAACTGACTCATCTTCCAGTCCATAATATGATGTGCCATGAGCAAGCAGCATGGATTGAGAGTGGATACAGCTTCAACAGTTTCCTTTCAGAGTTCTTGCATTCACGGCTCCATATTGCTTCCACTTTGAATCCCAGAGCCAAAGTCAGGATCACATGTACAAGTACCTTTTCTTCAGTAGAGTTGATATGAGCAGCCATAGCTTCATTTGTCAAGGAATTATTCAGTCCCACATTTTCTGGATTCAACTGTGCTCATGTGGAGGGAGATAAGAGCAGAGAGAGGAAATCACAGCCTTTCTTACACAGTACATTTTCTCACTATGCATTTATTGTCTATGTACTGTAAGGGAAATTGTTTCCTGTGTTGTGTTGTCTCACTGGAACATCTCTCGGGTTGGGCATAAAGCATTCCTTAAAGGTCCCATATTTTACACTTTTCCAGTGTAGTTTCACATTTCCTCTCTCAGGCTTCTCTTTGGAGCTCTAGTAACAACAATTTGGTGAGCCAATCAGAAGAGAGAAGGCTCTAAGCCTCTCTTCTGATTGGCTGACAGTTATCTGAGTGATCCAATAAAGCAGATTTCAGGTAAAACACTCCTACAAACCAAATCCTACAAGGTTGGATGGTGGGTCCAGGTGGGCGGGGCTTGCGGCATGGCTGAGAGCGGTGACTGCTTTGTTGTGACATCACAAAGTCACAGGAATTCCTGATTCCTCATTTTAAGGCTCAGTTTCTGAATATAGGCTGTGTGCATTTCTCTGTGGACTGAGGCTTTGATACTTTCATAGTATTAATATAGAACCTAGACCTGCTTTATAATCAAAAAAGACATGGGAATCTACTTTTATACAATATGGGACCTTTGATGCTGTGATCAAATAGGATTATTTTTATTGTGTTGTAATAAGGAGAGAAATAGCTCAAAGGATAGAGGGAGTATTAGAATGTACAAAAAAATGTAAAAAATTGTTGGTAAAATATAGTACAGCATAAATTTTTACCTTTGATAAAATGTATCTTTCTGTTTTTTACATTGACCTTTCCTAACATAATACTGTTCACACTGTGGCAATAAAAGCAGGTAAATGAGATGTAAAGGGAAACTGAGGTTCGACACTGTTGTTGTCCTCTTTCTCAGAGGATTTGAATTTTTATTTGTGCCGTGCTGTTTTAATCCCTGCGATATATGTAAATCTGTTCGCAGAGATGTATCACGTTGTCGGTCTGAATTTTCGTGGTAGATTGTGAGGTTTGCTAATTGTGGTTTCTCTCAAGGCAAACAGTGCCATTATAATGAGACCATACTGAAATACTCTGCATCAGTTTGATTCCTCCTACTATAAACTCTGACTTTAGATGCTACATACACAAAATGCTGTGAGATCAATTTATTTCATCCTGTTTTGGAAACCAGAATATCAGTTTGAATCTTATTATCTTATTACTCTCTCTCCTCTTTCAGCCTGTCTCTCTTCCTCTCTGTATTCACCCACATTCAGATCTATGACTCTTCCTGTCAACCTCCTTTTTCTCCATTTCTACACACAGAAAGCTTAAGGCCAGTTCTCAGGCCATTCCAGATCTAATCCGCATGACCCACAGAGAGATTTGTGTGACTGTTTACATGCATGAATACATGCATGAGTGTGTGTGTGTGTGGATCTTGACTGCCGACTAGCTGCAAAAGATTTACTGTGTCATGGTACTTCAGCATTTTAGCAGCAACATTTGCTGTTGTAAAGGATCCATCTCTCTCACATGGTGGAATCGGGGATTTCTTCAACTTCAGCTTGGTATCTCCAGCAGCACGCCTCTAACGATGAATAAACAGTGAAAACCAGCCCCCAAGATATCTGTCGGTGCGTGCCAGGCCTTGGCTAAACATCTCTGTCCTTGATCCTGTAGTTAGGTCTGTGTCTCTTGGCAGAAGGCTTTATGGCTGTGCTTTCAACATTAAATGGAGATTAAAGTAAAGACACAGACAGAGCTTGCAGATCAGCTGTTGGCTATGATGTTGATTCCAGCAAAATACACTTATCTGAAAAGAAGTACTGGAAATAGACCCGAAGTTAACTGAGATCGAGGAAAAACCTGCAGTAAGGAGGGTATCTCCTAAATGTGAGACTCTGGATGTTCTTCATCCAAAGCTTCTTACTGTTACTGTTACTTTTTAAACATTCACAGCTTTTAATTAACTGCTGCACCTGAGGGAAGCGAACACTTTGTAAGGCTGGGTAATCTTTTGTCTTTACAATGCTGTTCAATCCGAAGCCTTGGGACATCCTTGGGTCTACACTCTAGATTGGTTGTGTACCATTTGGGGTTGTGTGTGTTCTGTGGCCATGAGTCCAGTTACAATGGGGAATAAAGTTGAAATAAAATGGAACAGAATATGGTAGAAAAGGGATGTCCAAAGAAGGATTGAGTCATATGAGTGGCAGACCAGGCCTCCCAGTAAAGATAAGTGATATGATATTGATTTAGCCAAACCTGGTAAACACACTCTTGTGGACAGGTCATGGGAAGTTCACCAAAAAGCATCAGCATAACTCAGCCAATTAACATATTTTTTCTGTTTTTAATAAAAACCAATCTTTATTTGTATAGTGAAGAAAAAGGTGTGGGAATGGAAACAGACAAAGCAAATGATGCAAAGCAAAAAAGTGTCTGCAAGCCTGTGGAAATGTGGGAAATTTGACAAACTTATATCCTGGATGATTTTACTTTGGCATATGACCTACTGAATCGTACAGATCGCATCATTATGATTAAGAAGATATTCAGGCAAGCAGACAAACATCCAAAAGAAGCATCAAAGTTTCTAGTTGGGACTTTCACAATAAAAATCAGAGCGAAAACAGATCACGCAGATCGTGATTCAGATAGTGGATTCCAAATCTACCCAAAAAGACTGTCACAGGATCTTTTGGCCAGATCGCCCACCCCTATATGGAATGTTTGAGGAAATGCTGCAGCTCTGACTAGTTGGCTGGCATTAAACCACTGTAGAAGAAGACGGTGCAACAAGACAATGGAGTCAAAAAAGCAGTAGTCAAACCTCAAACTATCATTATTATTATTATTATTATTATTATAAATTGTAAACATGATGAAAATATGGCATTTCTGATTCTTATATGTATCAATTGAAGGAAAGTAACTGTCTCCTTATCGCTACACAGATGCGATGTTCTCGTCTGCAGCTGTTTGATTTATTCACTAAGTCTGTTTCCGTTCCACTCCCATTTTGCTTTTGTCATTACGCAAACATTTCCACCTCAGCTAAGCGTAAGAACTTTTTGTGATATAATGATATATTCCCACTGTTTTTTTTGTTTGTTTTTTTTAATCTCAAATTGAAAACTTGCATTAA